TACTTCTTCTTGTTCATTCTTTAAGTTTTATGGCTTTAGAGGAGGCTATCTGAAATAATAGCCAAGTTGGGACATTTAAATGGCATCAATGAAGTCTATAGGTGATCTTAAATAACTTTAACCACAATGGGTTTAAGTAGTTGGCATCTTTTAATGCCATTGATGAGTGATTTAGAGTTAATCCTAATATTAAATAATTAAGTTTAATTTAATATGAGTAGGTAACAATGATTATTATGCTTAATAGGGGTTAAATAAACTAATGGAAGTTAGTTTTGGGATTGATCATGCTTAATGAGAGGTTTAGGCCTTAATCATGATTAAGGGTTAATCAATGATGATTAGTCATTAATCTTATTTTTGGGTCATTGTTGTAGACTAATTGTGTTGGAGCTTATGTTTAAAGAAGGTCCCTCAAAAAATCCAAATTAAACTCTTGGGGTGGTAGCTAAAGAGTAAAGGTAAATAGGAATTTAATTATCAAATATCATAGTGTCTACAACTATAATTTATGCTATGTTATTAACGGCTTGAAATGAGTAACATGGACTTACTAGTGAATTTGTAGATTATGAATTATATAAATGTTAAGCATGTCTAATTGTAATGAAATGCTTGATCATTATGTTTATATAGATACCATGTAATATTGAACATAAATTGTAGGCCTGGATTAGTTGAGTTGATTGTATTAATATGAGGAGTTGTTGCAATTATGTTATCATATGAATTGTGATGAGCATGCAAGTTCTATATATCATGATGAGGATGATTTGTTATGATATGCATGAATTTAGATTTGTATATGAGGTTTGAACTTGCATAATCATGAAGGGTGGAAGTTCATCTTAGAGTAATAGAAGGTTAAAATAGTAAATCCATGTAGTGTGGCTTTCATTGAATTTATGTATAGTGATTGGTAAAACTTCATTACTAAGTGCTTAGTATTGCTAACACCCTATGGGTGTGGCAAAGGTTAGGCACAATGCTTTATTTCACCAAACCTGAATTGGATGGTATAGGTCAACTACTTATGACACTCTGAAATTTGAGTAAGGGGAACCTATAGTTTGAGAGTTAATGTAGGATCCCTTGGGTAGGTGACCCCTCACAATTAGAAAACAAGGATAATTCAATCACATAAACTAGACCCATACAAGTTATTAGTCCATGGGTTTAGTTAGAACATATAAGAAGGTTATAAGGCAGTTGCATCAATCATGTGGCATACTTTCTTGTGACATGTTATAGTTAATGTATGGTTTGACTTATGTAAAATGCATTACCCACTTGATTGTAACTGCCACACTAATATGATTTAATTAGATTCTTTGGTTATCAAAATTGTTAAATTTCACTTATGTTACTTAATACTTTTCTAAGTGACAAAAAGGTTAAGGGAAAAGGAGAAGCCTCAAAGGTCGCAAGCACTAGAGACTTTATTGCATAATCTCTAGTACTTGATTTTGTGCAATGATGGATTATATTTTATCAACATTGGATAATTATATGTCAAAACTATGATTTTATTTGCATGAAAGCCATGTCTGTGAGACTTGGGCACTTTTGTTAATGGCCTTGCATTTTTGGAAAGAGGCCTAACATGCAAATGTTTGGTGTAATTAATGTTTATACTTTGCCATCTATATTATTATCATAGCATGTTTATGCATAAGAAGTTATGTTTGTTGAGTGGTAAAATTAATGGCTTGAGGAGAGGCACTTGGTAGGTGCCATTGGATTAAGGTTTAATGGCACTAAGTGTTTCAGGATCCTCATTTGGCATTAGCATAAGTTGTAGTTGATACCAGTACATAGATTTCTTAATCATCCACATATAAGCGCTTGGATATCCTTAATCAGATGTCTAGATATTTAATTAGGCACATTTAAAGTTAATCTTTCATGTTATGTAACTGCTATGTTGTTAAAGGGCTTTCATAGTGGTGGACAAGTCAATTTAAGGTTAGCCTCAGTAAACATGGCTTGGGCCATGGCAAAGTGGCCTCTGTGCCATGAGGCACAACAATTGGTATTTTATGTGGAGTTGGCTGCGGCGGATATACAATTGACCGTGGCAAATGTTCATAATTTTGCAAAAAATCACTGTTTTGTCCCTAATTCTTTTAGTTCTCAATGTTGTCACTATTTTCCTTGTGTTCATGCATCTTTTACACCCTGATTCTCAAAAGAAAGATTTGTTATGATTTTCAATGAGATTTTTTTTGGATCTCAACTTTAATTTGGTTGTTATTAAAAAAAATCTTCTATGTTGCCATGATTGATCCTTTGTAATTAGGGAAAGTTTGATTAATTGGGGTTAATTGGAGTTAATGACAGAGTTCTTTACAATCAATTTATATAGAGGATTAATTTGATATCTTGATCCATTTAGAGGGCAATCGGATGATCAAAAACATATTATGATCATGTTCAACAAGTGAGTTAACTAATTAATTTTTCTTTATGTGTGAAAATTATTATTTCAATTTGGTCTTTGATATAAGGTTTCATATTGGATTGATAGGTTGTCCACATGTTCTATAACTAAAAAGAGTTGCCTCCCATCCATAATAATACTAAAAATTATGAAGATGCATTTGAATGGATGATAATTAAAGTATACATTTACCCTGAATTCAATTATTTCATCAAATTTAACTTATTATATTTTAACTAATTTTTTTTGTTTGATCGAAAGAGTCCACAACAATGTAACAAGACTATGAATTGTGGCTACAACATCATAATGAAAGACATAGTTGATCATGCACCAAATGACAGAATTCTGCTTGACCATGCATATCTTCTATCTCTATTATAGTAATTTTAATAATTTGCATTATAATATACACATCACATACTTAAGCTTGATCTTTGTTATGTTTGGTTGAACAATACTTTAAGGATGCATTTGTAAAGCAATATACTGCAATTGACATTGAAGAAGTTCTCAAAGAGTTGTCACATCATTCGTTCAAGTAATGGGCAAAATATTCTTGATTGGGAACTTGAATGCTCACAACCATTAGCTTGCTCAATTTTGATTCATTATATAGGTTCCTTAGGTTCTTTATACTTTGGCCAATCTTAGTTTTTGGTTAACTTTGCCCAATTTTACTTTTACTTGGCAAATTCTTCATTGTAATACTTTAGTGTATAGGCATTTTTTGAAAAATTTGAAGTACTTTTGAATAGATTGTAAAAATTATTATTGGTTTGAATAATTTTGGTTTTAATTGCATTCAAATTTTGGTTGAAATTAGAACTTTGTTGCTAGATTACAATTCTAGGAATACCTATATTTTGTTTTACAGGGGGCTATTCGAAATGCAACCTATCTATTTAAAAAAAAAACAATAAACTATATAATGGGTATTTTAAAATAATTGCTATATAGTTCAATATATATGACAAATAACTGCTACATAGATAAAACAATAAGTTCATTTGAGCACTTGTGCAAAATAATTAAAATTGGGCTATATATAACAGTTTATATGATAATCACTGAATATAATACAACTATTTGATAGTTATTTTAAGAGAATCATTAAATAGTTGATTGAAATGTTTGTTGGGCTCAAAACTGGAACAAATTATTATAATGGTTATTTGTAAATAACCGTTATATAAAGCCAAACTATATAGTGCATTAATATATAGTAGTTTTTAACTGTTATATATTGGTGAAAACAAGTGTTACATGGATCTTTTTTTTTAGTAGTGTTAGACATATTAGACATATTTATATGCAATGAAAGAACATGCCACTTTAAAAGAAATGTTTACAAAATTTATAATGTTGGGTAATCCAACCTTGGTGGATCATGCCCAAATATAAGCCCAATGGGATCTTGTTAGTTTAGTGAAAAACTCTAGGTCTTTATATGTAATAAAACCTGAGCTCTTAAGTGTGATTTTCCACTGTGACTTGAATAAAAGTGGGAACTGTTTTGTTAACCAAATACCACATGTTGCCCGCTCCTCATTGTGTGTAAAGGGTTGATGAGGCTTATGAGAACCGGTTTCTCATTTCCTTCGACATGTGTGTGTTCAACTGAGAATTTTTTCTTCCTCTTCTCTCTTCTTTCTTTGTGTACATTGCTGTGAATCGAAACCAAGTTCCTCTCGTGACTCCATTTCTGCGTTGAAATAAAAACCGGTGCAACTCACAAGGTACGTTTTTCCTTCCTCCAATGCTCACATATAATGTCTCCCCTATTTTCACTTTTTACATTGATTGTACAAACAACCGATGTAGAAAGAAGAAAAAGAAATTAATTTTACTTAAGGTTGAAGGTTATTCTTATCCCTAAAAGAAAATAATATTTTAGAATAATTATTTTAAACTTTCTATATATAGCAGTGGTGCTATCAATAGGTGTAGAAAGAATATTCAATTAATTTCCTTTACTTTTTTATCTTGTAACATTGGCTTCTATTATAACCATTATAGAAAGTATTTTCTACCCAAATTATTTATTTAATTGGTGTAGAAAGTTATTAGTGACGCAACTTAATTACAAAAATGTCACTTGTCCCACTTTCTACAATGGGTGCCTTTGAAACGGTATAAAAAAAACTCGTTGTGGAAAACAATTCTTGTACTAGTGATCTTATCATGAATAATCAAGAATTTGTTTAATTCTGTCATTATTACTTGCAACTAAGCTTGCAGGTTATTTTCAAAAGATTCTAACATGAATCGGAGTTCAAAACATTTGGAGACAAGCATGAATGTGTATTAATATAATTCATCAAAACAAGCATATTAATTTTGTGGGTTTGATTCAAGAACAATTTAATACATTGTACAACCATTGGACATGCATGAACGAAGCTAATTGAATTTTGATGTGCACATAATTTATAAACGTTGGTTTGCAGATTAGCCATATCTTTTGTTTCTATCTTATACTGAAATATTTTACTATATAATCAAACATCCATATGGATACCAAACTAATCCTCACTACTATCTCAAACACACTCTGAAAATGATGACATCTTCATCAAAACCTTATCTTTTTTACTTCACAATCTTGTTCCTCATTTCAACTTGTGTGAAAGCTATAAAAGAGTCATTCGTCATAGATATCATACATCGTGATTCTCCAAAATCCCCACTATTCGATAACACCACAACTCACTTTCAAAGAATTCACAATGCCTTACTTCGATCCGACCAACGAATGAATTACTTGTTCCCCAATAAAGATAACGCCATAAACAACTATGATCCACGTCCTACTCTGTTTGGCCAGCCTGGAGCAGGAGAATATGTTATGCAGTACGCCTTGGGCCATCCAATGTTTCGAACATACGGTATCATTGACACAGGTAATTAATCTGAACAACTGTATTTTGTCGTCTAGCAATTATTTTTAAAAAGAGGGATGATAAAAATTTTATTCCCTTAAATTTGTTATAGTTATTAACTTGGTTTTTCAAGTTTAATTTATCAAACCAATCCCTTACATTTTCTTAAGTTATCATGATCGTCCTCTAGAATTTGAAATACAAATTGGCTTTCAAATTAATCTGATGTATAAAATTTGTTGATAACTTGACATATATATGTCACTAAATGAAAACAAGTTAGCATTCCAAAGTCATCTGATTTACTTATTTTCTTGAAAACTTGTTAAAATAAGGGTAAAATAATGGAATCAGATTACTTGTGATAGCTGACTTGTTTTCACTTAACCATATATACACATAAAGTCATCAACATATTTTACACATCAGATTAATTTAAAGGCCAATCTGTGTTAAAAACTTAGAAATCAAGGAATAATGTGATCACATAAGGAATTACACGAGACTAATTAAATCTTGTTTGATTACTAAAAAGGAATAAAATAGAGTGGACCAAAAAAAAATAAAGAGACAAAATGGGATGATCAAAAGAGATGAGTAAGTAAATTGATAAGAGAGAGGGATACTTTAATTTATTGGGTTGAGAATCATGATTCATCACATTTTTTAATGGTGTGATGATGTCCACATTTATAGTATATATTGATAAGTTTTATCATACTTATTATGCAAAGGAGAGTGATTTAGTTCTTTTTTTTTTGAATTTTTTCAATTAATTCCATTTTATTATATTCTAATAACTAAATGGTACCAAAATTAATAAAAGAGAGAATGACAGAAAGGTCCAAATTCAACTTAGGCCCCAATTAGTGTCAATTTTTAGAAATTTGCAAATTCGATTCTTAATTTTGCAACTTTGTTATGATGAATTTGTAACTTATTTTTTAAATTTTAATATGATTAGAAAATGAACAAATTTATTTTTTCTCTTAAAATTTAAAAAATAAATTACAAATTTATTACAATAAAGTTGCAAAATTAACAGTCAAACTTATAAATTATTGAAAGTTAAAATTTAAAATTTAAGTTAAATTAATTTATCCTTTTGAACCCTTTCTTTAATAAAAAATTAAATCTAAAGGACTAAATCAAAGTTTTATTATCCAAAAAAAAATATTGGAATTTTTAAAATTTTTGGGTCTGACATTAATGACAGGTAGTGACCTCACTTGGTTACAGTGCACACCGTGCACAAGATGTTATAGTCAAGGGAATCTCCCGTTCTTGGATACTAATTTTAACTGGGGTCTCCATGCTGTGGAATGCTTGAGCTTTACGTGTGTGCACATTGTGAATCCATCAGTGACACAAGTCTTTTGTGATTACGGTTATTGTCAGTGTAAATATTTGATAGCGTATGCTGATCGTTCATCTACAATTGGAGATGTGTTCGCTACTTTACTCAGACTTCAAACAAGAAATGGTGACTACATAGGATTTCCTACGTTTATATTTGGATGTAGTACAGAAACAACAGGTTCATTTAGTACAGGAGCTTCTGGTATTGTTGGGCTTGGAAGAGGACCAGCATCATTGGTCTCACAAATCCGTGACAGCATTGAAGGAAAATTTGGATACTGTTTAGTTCCGGTGGGGCAAGATGCATATAGTCAAATGAGGTTTGGTCAAAGTGCTGTCATTTCTGGACCAGATGTGGTTATTACTCCAATGATAGCAACAACTCCAATAAATTACTATCATATTTCGTTTGAAGGAATTACTGTGGAGGGCGTGTATATACCATATATAACAGGTGATGATTCAACATTCTTATTATTATTATTATTATTTATAGTTAATTAGTAGAATGACATTTAGAATCCTCTCAAGAAACTATTAGAAGAAGGGCTCATAAATTTTTCATCGGATATTATCTTATAAAAATAAATAAATATTGTTAAAAATTGGACCCTAACTTATTAAATTTTGAAGGAAATTCTAATATAAATATATATAACTAACAATAATATATACATATTTGTATAAGATAATATCCAATAAAAAATTTATGGTGGCCTTATTTGGATATAGTCCATTGAGACTTTAAATGTCACTATCCCTGGTTAATTTCAGCTATAGTTGAAATAACATTTAGATATAATAATAGTACTTCACTGAAAACAAATAATAACAGTAATATATATGTTAATATCTTTATATTAGTTTTCATCATCATGGTTCACTTACATCCATCCTTGCTATATTTGTAATTAAAATTTAATTTTATTACTTTTATTATTCCATTTGACTTATTTGGTCTCTTTTCTTTAGATGTTTCAATTATGTGTTTGGGCAAAAAGAAAAAGACTCGTTTTAAATTAGGATAAAGGTTTATTTTTTTCTCTAAAGTATTCTCCCGAGGAACACCCAGTGTTCTAAAGTATTTGCTATAGTATTTTTGCCTTTAAAGTAATTAAATTAAAGCATTATCTACTTTGATGTTAAATTCCCACAAATGTTCATTAAGTAAGAACATTTTGTGTCATGAGGCCCATAAGAAATTGTTTAATGGACGTTTGTGGGGATTTAACGGGTGTTAAGGTAGAGAGTGGTCCAATTTTATTATTTAGAATATTGGATGCTCTTCAAAAAATACTTCAGGAGTAAAAAATGCAACTTTACCCTTTAAATTATTTTTTATTCAATTAATAATGAAAATTCATAATTTATTGTTAAATTCTTAGAATGATTACCATATTATTCTCATTTTTCAACAAATGGGAATATGACCAAAGTGTACCTTCATACGTACTCTAATTTTATTTAAAGTTTTAGTTTGATCCATTAATTTTATAACGTATTTTTTTAGTTCTATAATCATAACATAAGGTGAAGTTTTATACAATTAAGATTAGAATATTAAAAGGACACTGTAAAATTAAGAGACCAAAGAGTATCCTTTTATGAAGTTATAGTACCAAATGTGCTCTTTTGCGGTTATTAATTACATGTTTATTACACCAAAACAATTGTCAAAACACTGCTTGTATATCATCATTCATTTCTTACATCCACATATTTAGTTATTTTGCTGACCATCATTCATAAACACTTCATGATTAAAAGTTTATTATTTCAATTGATAACTTCTTTAGAAAAAAATACAGGTAATTTAGGCAATGCAATCATCGACTCTGGGACAATAGTGACTAGGTTACCAGCAAGATTGTACTCATTTGTTGAAAGCCAAGTTGCATTACATTTGGACCGATTGTACACACGTGTTCAAAGAAGATTTTACAGCCTGTGCTATTCACATAACAACATTGAGACAATGGGAGGTCCAAAAATTACAATTCATTTAAGAGGAGGAAATCTGGTGTTAAGTCCAGAGAATATATATATTCAGGTTGATTATGGGGCAGTGTGCTTCAATTTCAAATCTCATCCAACCGACCTTGTAATTGGGACCAATGTTCAGGCAAATTTCATCGTTTCATTTGACCTTCAAAGGAGGGAAATTGGCTTCTTGAAAATAAATTGCGCCTCCCTGAGCTGATCGATCATATATGTGATGCACGGATTATACTATATTGGTTGTCTTCTTTTGAATAATTAAGTTTATCATCTATATATTTATTAGTTTTATTATTCATGTTCCCCCTTTTGTTATAGCTTCTTGTAGGTCCTTGATCCTCTCTGCTCACAAAATAAATGATGAAAGAGCATTCATGATCATGGTATAAAAAACCAGACCGGATCCACTGATTGAAGTGGTAATCCTAACTCAAATCTAAATCCATTATTATTTAATATTTTTAATGTTATTGCATTTTATTATTGTTAAAAAAATTATAATTAATATTTGCATTAGACATGTATAAGATTTTATGGATTGATTTTTCATTTACTTGAGGATTAAGGACTTCTTTGTTTGAATATTACTATGTTTTATTTGTTTATATGTATGTGTGTGAATATCTTTGTATATTTAAATTAAAATATATTATTCCAATTGCAACTAATCTGCCTCCAGATTGACCCTTGATCGTACCATTAACCTTTAAATCATTACCTAAACCAATTAAATAACCAGTCCTGTTTTTAGCACTCTGATCATAGTACAAGAGAATGCGATAGTATACAGGATCCACATATCATTATATGTGTGTTGGAACCTTGTTTTGGTTATAACAAAAGGCTAGAGAGGATTGTTTTGTAGATAACTAGATATTGATTCAAGGAAGACTAGAATTCAAATTATCAAAGTCTTCTTAAGAATCAATGTAAGTAGTTTAAGAGTAAATGGAAATATAATTTCATGAGCTTTTCCAATTAAAGATAAATTAAACTCTTGGTGAAACTCTTGTTCTAATATGTTTTGTTACAAAGCATATCTTTGACTTTGAATCAGCATTTTTATTATATCTCTTAATATGTCCAACCGCATGTGCTTGTCATTGGGACCAATGTCCAGGTAAACTTCATCGTTGCATAGGCCTTCAAAGAAGGGAAATTGGCTTCAAGAAAATGAATTGCGCCCGACCAAAAACTTGACTTTGTCGCGTTTAAAAATTCAAAAGTCATAGCTAAAAATTTTTAGCGATGACTTTTTGAATAAGTTTATTAATGTTTTGTCCTCAAAAAAAAAAACGGAACTAAGCCAATTTGAGTAAATAAAGAACTAGCCAACAACTGAAATTTTAAATACATTACAATTTTAGTTCTTATTATAATAAATTTTCAATCAAGAATTGTAACAAGTTTTAACAAGTAAGTGACACATTTTAGAAAGTCCAACAAGCCCTAAGGGCTTGTATCTAAATTTTGGGAAGCGAAAGCTATGCTACTAGGACAAGAGCTTATCTCAGCAAGTGGTATTTTCAACGAGATTCCATTAGAAAAGTCTTCTTTGGAGTGTGCCTTGAAACTCTTCACAAAGTACCAACTCCTGGCTTGGCGCTTCGTGTGTGTGTGAGTGAAGAAATATTTAGGTAGATTTGATACATTACATTATTTATAAAAACATAATATTTAAATGATATTAAATATAAATTAATTTTAATATTAATAATAATAGAGAATGAAAATGCAAGAAATTAAATATACATTCTGTTATAAAAATAAAATTAATTAAAAAAATATTACACAAGATTTTATTTAAATTACTTAGAGCATTGTAATTGTATAGACTACAACTGATGTTGTACACCTGGTTTATTTAAGTATTTCTCATATATATGAGATATGATTATGATAAATAAAATAAACAAATTGAGATACAGTAGTTACAATTCTTGATTATAAAATAATAATTAATTATTTGTAGAATAAATAAATAAATAATTGAATATAGATATTTATGATATATTTGGTACTACTTTAGGATCTATCTTATATAATATAGATCTTCAAGAGTTACTTTATACTCTATGTGGATAGCTTTAGGATCTACCTTATATAATGTGGATCTTCAAGATCTACTTTATACTTTATGTGAATAACTTTAAGATCCGCCTTTTATAATGTAGATATTCAGGATTTATTTTGTATTATATATATATATATATATATGGGTATTTTCATGTTTCACTTTATAAATTTTAATGTAGATACCTTCTAAATCTATAATATGCAGATATCACCAGTATCCACATTAGATTTTTGCGTGGATAACTTTAAGATCCACTTATTAGGTGGTACCCCATACTTCTAGATGTAACACACCTTTTCAATAATTAATTCAAAAGAAATGATAAAGTAATTAAAAGATGAGGATAAGAAAATAACCATATAAATGACAAGTAAAAGCAACTTGGCAAATAAATAACTAAAAAAATAATGAAGATTTACTCAGTTGTTTAATTTAGAGTGCCTCTCTTGTAACACCCTCAAATTTACAAACCGATTTTTCGCAAATTATTAATTCAACAAATCATTTTTTTTTTCATTGAACCCTTATCATACCCTTATCATGGTAGAAAAATTTCTACCATGATACATCCAAGACAATATACCACAGGTCTTAAAATATCTCAAAAATCAATTAGAACCATGAGGGACAGACATGATCCTCATAGCATGTTATTTAAATTAGGTCATGAATCAAAAGGGACAGACATAATCCTCTTGGACATATAAATGCATTTAATAAAAAGGATTAGAGTTTACACGCTCCATAGACAAGATATGTCCTAAGTTGGCACAAGATACATTGTATAATCCAAAATAAGAGGCAACGTAAAAGATGGTGTCTCATACACCATAATTACACCTCTGGTGCTTTCTCGGCCGGATTCGCTCCTGTAAAAATATTAACCACGGGGAATGAGACTTAAAAGTCCCAGTAACCAAAAATTAATATGTAATGATGCATGCGGATGTAACTAATCATGCGATTGCTAAGTGGGCACACAAAACATTTAACCAACCATATTTTCAAACAAACCGAACAAGTATTTAATTGCATGACTGCACCTTATCTCCTCCTTTCACCATGCTCGGACGCCAAATCACCCGGCCAAAGGTGAGTTGGACCAAGCGACACGCCACTCATTGGGTCCAATGAGGGCTTACCACGTGGTAATAATTAACCGAACAGAAATTCCCATTAACACCATACATTAAAATACCCTGACAAGTCATGCATCATTCAAATATCCAAACAGGAATATATCCGAACAATAATATCTCATCATGATAAACAAAAATAAATTTTTAACCCACTTGGCAATAATTTCAAATAAGTATATACAGTATTTATTTTCAATAATTCATAATTTTTCCAAACAACAAAACAACACATAACCATTCACAAACACACTCATCACAACACATTAATAATGGTTACCTTGTGTCTTGAATAACAAGTTCCCCTTCACAACTCCTTTTTCACCACTATCTTTGTCAATATAATCTACATAATTATTTCACAATACTATATATTAATTTTACATTAAAATAAATAACTCTAATTTAAAGAGTTAGAAAGTCTTAAATCTATAGTCCATATTAACACTAATTTAAGATTTATGCCTCATTTAACTTCCCAAATTCTTTTCTAAAATTCTCGTACCCTAATGAACTATTTTTTTTTATCCTCAATTCACTTCTAGTATCACAATTTCATCCTTCTACATTCTAAAAATTCATCCAAAAAATAAATTAAAAATTTTAGAATTATCCTGAAGCCTCAAATCACCTTTCTATAACCTCAAAAATACCTATTCATACTTAAATAAATATTTAATAATCATAGGTTTATCCCTACGTCTTAGATTCCACATAAATTCAACCATATAGATCTAATTTTAACTCAAAAATTCTTAAACATGAGTTTCAACCTCAAGAAAATATTCTATAATATTTACTATATCCCTAAGAATTTTAACCTATATTTTTAATCCATCATATCATCAGATTAACTATCCTATAGAAAAATCCTAATCAAAATATTTACTCTATCCTACAAAATAATCATATCACTAGAAAGCTAATATTATTTAAAAAATAACTATAAAATTAATTTTGTAATTAAATAAATTTTTAAATGCTAATCTAAACAGGAAAGTTAGAACATACCTGAAGAAAAAAGAAAATAATCCCCCCTTGCGAGAAAACGCCGAGCAACGTGAGAGGAAGAGAGAAAAATAATATAAAAATGGGATTGTGAGTCCCAAAATTATATTAAAAAAAAACTATAGGTTTGAATTTAATTATTCAAACCTTTGGGCCCAAAGTTGCAATTTTCTCTAAATTGCATCTTAGCCTCTCATGCTTCCTAATGCACACACCCCCTCCTTTTTATACATGAAGGCACCTCTTCTCTTCCCTCATCTAACCAATGTGGGACTTAGAAACAACAACCTTCCACCCCCCTTTTTTTTTTGTTCCTTCTACCTTCTCTTTTTTTTTAACACACACATAAAAAAAATTATTTATGTATTATATCTTAACTAAATATTGCTTATGTGGTTTTAAATTTAAATTTTTAAATTCATAATTAAATACCTAATCATAATATTATTTCTAAATAACCTCAAATAATATAAATTCCTATTATTATCATTTTTTTCCTCAAAACCTAAATTTCACAATTTCTTTATTATATAAAAAAATCAGGATGTTACATCTCTCTCTCTCTCTCTATTAAAGATATTCCTTGGCATTAGCAATAATCTTCAATTTCATGAGAATAAGTGTATGAACAATCAAGAATAAAGTCACACACTTGTTAATTAGAATTATGTGCTGATAATGTGCTGTAAAAATAGATATTGAGAGGAGAGAAGAGAGAAAACAACATTGAGAGAATGAGAGAATTGAAAGCTTTTTTATTTCGATGTGTAAAATATAACAGAGAAGTCTTTTATTTATGGATACAAATATATCAATTAAAGTAAATAAAATATACAATAATTGAAAGATGTTATGATAATCAAAAGATATTGAAGAATTTAAGATTTAAGATAATGAAATTCACATAATATTCTAATATTTATAACAATATTAATTTAATATAAATAGTTTAATAAGTTAATTTGCGATATAAGTTAAGAGTTAGACTTTGTTTGAAAAAGAGGTAGGGATTAAATATCTTGCCTAAATCAGGCAAAAAGTTATGTTATAAGAGTAAAATGTGAACAAATTGACTTTTATTAATTGTATAGTAGAGGGAATGTATAAGAAATATATTAAAGGTAATTAAGATATATTAATTTTAATTGGTGGATAATCTTAAAAATAATAATATTTTTACCATTTTAATGATACAAATCACTTTTATAACTATATTTTAATTCTTGTAAATTATTTAAAAATATCTTATATTTTAAATTGGATTTATTATGTGAGTTTTTTAACAATCAAAATAAAATTTTTTAATAAAAATATTAAAGTCATCCTCAAAATAATTGTGAGACTACCATTAATAATAACTATCTCATACAATTTGGATTAATTTAAGCGAAAAAAGTAGTATATGATAATATCTTTAGATTTCTAAGGATATAGGTGAACATAGAATAAAAAACAAGACGTAACATCCTAAAATTTTCAAACTAATTTTTTAAAAATTATTAATTCAATAAATAATTTTTACATTATTGAATCCTTATCATGATAGAAAATTTTTTACCATAATAATAAATAATTTTTTTTAAAACTCTACTACGATAGAAAAGAGTTTATCATATAAATAAAATATTTTACAAATAGTCTACCACAGTAGAAAAAATTTAATATAAATTCAACTATATAAATTTAGAGTCTAACTCAAAAATTCTTAAATCTGAGTTTCAACCTCAAAAAAATATTCTATGATATTTATTAAATCCTTGACAACTTCAACATGTATTTTTAATTAATCATAATGTCATATTAACTATCTTATAGAAAAAATTTAATTAAAATATTTGTACTACTCCACAAAATAATCATATCATTAGAAAGTTAATATTATTTAAAAAATAATTATAAAATTAATTTTATAATTAAATAAATTTTTTAATACTAACATAAACTAAAAATTTAGAGCATATCTAAAGAAAAGAAAATAAACACTAGAAAGGATAAAGCAACGTGTGAGAGAGAGATGGAAAAAATAATATAAAAATAAAAATATATGTCTCACAATTATATTAAAAAATGACTATAAATTTAAATTTAATTATTAAAATTTTTAGGCTGCTAGTTGCAATTTTTCTCAAATTGCACCACACCCACTTTTGCCATCTACCCGCGTTCCAGCGTATTTATAATTGATAAATTCATTTCTTTTCCAATTTCTAACCAATATGAGAACTAAAAGTAATTCCATCTGTCTTTAATGATTCTAATTATTTTTTAAAACATTAATAATATAATAAAATTTACTTGAAAGCATTGAATATTGAGTCAAAAGATACTTATAATATAAACAAGTGTACATCCTGTAATTATATTTTGTTAAAGATAAGTGTTGAATTATAATAAATGTTGTGCGGGATCAATTTGGGTATTGTTGAACCATTATTATTTAGAAAGTATTAGTACTTAATACTTAAACAAAACTTGTGATATATTGTTTTGGATGTACACTTGGATCACATAAGAAATTGTGTTGGGATTTTGTCACCTTAGGATAGGCTTCTGCATCAAACATTGATTTAAAAATTATTTTTTTATATGAATTGTTTTACATTGTTTTTTGTTAGGTAAAATTTTATTATAAATGTATTTTCAATTATCATGATAGAACTTATTTATTATGTTAAATTCTTTCTACTATCGTAAGCTATTTGTAAAATGTTTTATTTATATGATAAACTCTTTTATAACATAGTAAAATTTTTAAAAAAAATTATTTATTATTATGATAGAAATTTTTCTATCATAATAAGAGTTTAATAATGTAAAAATAATTTATTAAATTAATAATTTATAAAAAATTGGTCTAAAAATTTCAGGGTGTTATGCAAGATTTTTAAAATAACCTTGAAATTTTTTTCCTTTAAATATAGATTTTTTATATAATTTGAAATTGAAATAACAGTTAAGAGTTAAAATTTAAAAGTAAAACTTTGTTTAAAAAATAGGTAGGGATTAAACAAATCTACCTAGATTAGGCAAAAGGTTACGTTAAAAAAAGTAAAGCGCACTAAATTAACGGTGGACGTTAAGGGACATAACGGCCGTTAGCTGAGACCATTCACTATTGTCTTTCGTACGGGTTAGGTACAAACAAGATAAAAGGGCCATTCCTTCCACCAACCTCGTTCCCACGCTTTTTCTACCCGTCTCTCTCTGCAGGACACTCCATATTCTCTCTCTCTCTCGTCTCTTCAGTTTCTCTTTCTTAATCTTCTTCATCTTCTTCCTCTCTGGTTCAGCTTTCTCTTTGTATGGCCGCCAACTCCAATAGCCGAGGAATCGCCAGCGTCGGGAAGCGACTCGTCAATCAGATCTGGCTGGCCAATAACACTTCCAGGTTCTACTCGTCAAATTTCCCTCAAACTTCCGTTTTAATTTTTTTCTGAATTTCTAATTGGAATTTCTAGTGCATGTGTTCTAAGTTCCTTCTTGAATCTTGTTTTCTCACAGTTTAATTGCTCTGTGATTGATTGTCTTCGATTTTCGCTTCGTCAGTGCTTGAAACACATAAAGTTATCTGTTTATTTTACTAGAGACGAACAGAGAGATGATCTTTCTGATTGCTGATCATTTAGAGGATTATGGCCGAATAATGCATAATTTTGAGTTCATACTTGCCTTCCTGAATCTTGTTTTTCTTACAATTTACTCTCGGATTAAGTTTCTTTGATTGGTTACTTGATTTTGCTGGAAACACGTGCATTGATTGGTTTATTTTGTTCGAGACTAACAAATAGCAGAGTGATAATTATTTCCATTTGTGAAATTCAGGATCAAATGGGAATAGAGTTGTAAAGTTTTCGATTCCCTTAGGGTTTTCAATCGTTTGCTCTATGTTATGCCGTCGTTTTCTGGGTAATTTCTTTCTTGTTGCCAGAGGCGGATAAGGGGCCCCACACTTATACTCTCTTTGAGTAAAAATTATAACTCTTGCTTGCACAAAATTTTATTTTAAATTGGATTTTGACCCCCACTCAATGTTTTATTTTCATTCTGACCCTTCTATTAGCTTCTAGATCCGACCTGCTTGTTGCTTTGATTTAGTTTTTGGGAATCTTCACCCGATGTTTGTGGTTTAATTTAATCTTAATCATTGAGCTAATTTGTCGTGATCCATCAAATTTTAACCGATATGATGTACCTGTAGGGAATGGTATCTGGTCTGAGTTACCAATGATAGTTGAATAGTAATTGTTTATGCTGGATTTTGTCCTTTCCTGATAATATACAAACTTAGTGCATGCACGTTTGTTACACGAAAAGCGTATTTTTCTAAAAATAAATAAAATATATTGAGATGAGAAAGAAAATGAAATAAGTACATTTATTATTGTTTTCAGAAAATATTTTTTTTTTACTTATCATACATTACATTATTTTATTCCCTGTGCATGATTGGTGGGAAATAAAAATAGAAACCTCTAGAGTTTGGCAGTTTGCCAGGAAAATAGCCTCTTCCATGTCAAGGCCCACCTATTAGGAAGTCGTGCTATTTTTTTTTTTTTGAAAAAAAAGTTTATATGTTTAACCTTAAATATTTAATTTATTTTATTTTCAATTAAATTGAAATATATAAATCATTTATATATTATTTATTTTCTAATAACATTTTATTATTAATATTATTAACATATTAAAATCTATTTATTTTCATTTGATTATAAAAGTATATTAAATATGAAGGTTAGTACTTTAGTCTTACACTATTTTTTTCCATCGTTTTATTTTTGCCGCTCTCCTGAATTCTTCTCTGTTTTTTTTTTTTTTTAAATGATCTTTCCCAAATGTCATCTGTTCTCCTGTCCTCGCTGGATATACCTGTACATCACCATGGAAATTTGGCCTTGAATATCTTTTCCCCTTTTATCTTTTTCTGTCAACGATTTTATGTAGAGCTACTAGAGCTTTGCAGTGTTTGAAGAAACAAGTCACATGGTTGATGATTGATATTCATGAACAGTAACAAATAACAATATGATATATTACAGACTTTGTAGAGATTGATGATGATGGGCTCATGTGCAAATTGATCATGGGCTCCTCATTTTTGTGTTTTTTTGGCCAACCATTTTTGTGTGTATTTAAAATCAAAGACCACTTGCACGCCAACAAAGGCGAAGCACAGTTGGTCAAAGACTCAGTTTTTCCCCCACAAGGACAAAGGTTTGAATCCCAGATATGAGGCATTTGTTGGTAGGCAATATGTAGCCTCTTCCAAAAATCCTCAAAGAGGTTGGGAGGTAATCCTACTAATTAATATGAGGCACTTGTTGGTGGGCAATATGTAGCCCCTTTCAAAAATCCTCAAAGAGGTTGGGAGGTCTATCTCCACTTTAGTGAGTTACCGATGTCTATCTCATCTAAACTTTCTTTATAGTCAAAAAGAAAAAAAAATCACTTGTAACAACTAATGTGTGACTTAAAAAATTAAATTAATAATAATTAAATTTTAGAAAAAAAATAAAAAAATGAGTTGTAAATATTGATTTAAATCATTATAAATAGGAATATCAACTACAACCTAAGAGTTACATTTAAAATTTAAATATCTTATCTAGAATTGAAATTTCTAAGTCATTAATTCAATTATTTAGTACCTAATTGTCATTGCCCTTTATTTTTTTGGGTAATATTTGGCTTAAAAAAAAAACAAATTGAACATGAGGTGCACATGACCGTCATGCACATGAGAGAATCCTTGTTGGGTTGGGTACGTGCTGATAGTTGAGGTTTAGTCTATAATAAGTTGCACATGTACGTATCCGGATCTAATGCGCGCGCGTCCCCTAAACTATTTTTGCTCCTCTGCATCAGTTTCCTGATTTAATTGGTAACTTTCAATTATGCAATAGCCTTTTGTTGAATGTGGGATAGTCATATTTTTGCCTATCATGCAGTTGAGATTGATTGTTAAACGTATTGTTTTGTGTTCAAAAGTTATGCTATCTCGTTTCATATCGTTACCATGTGTTATTTTGAAATTATTTGTAGGAACGTGGATATGTTTGTGTGCGTATGTTTGATTAAATTTGAATGTATAAAATAACTTTTTAAAATTTGGTTCTCGTTTGTAGATTAATATACTTTTTATAGTTTAGGAATGAGGAGGATTTAGCATTTTCCATGAGTTTCAACTTCAACCCCATTATGTGGTGAGATAAATAATAATAAAAAGTAGCTATGACAGTGGCAAGGAATAGACAAAGGAGAGAATATATTTTTTGTCTCTATGGTTTTATATAATTTTTAATTTATTTTGTAAAACAGTTGTATTCTCTGATATTATATTTTCGTCAATATTTTGTCATATTTGGTAGTTAATTTTAAAAAAATTTATATTTCGAACGGATGAAGTAATTAATATTCTATGATGGTCAAATTAGAAGTTGAATGAGCAAGCAAATAAAAGTTCCCACAGCGAGGACAATTATTACCTGATATGTTGTGCCCCAAATTGGGGTGTCCACGATGAATGGACCTCAACGACAGAAAATGACTCGACGTGATAGATGGATAAGCAAGTGGCTCCTTTCCATAGCGAGAGGGAAGCCTCCTCTGCCTGTGAGCCAATCTGAATCATTTAAATTTAATCAATTTAAATTTAATTTTTTTATTTTTTATTTATATTTTTAAAATGAAATTATATAAAAATTATAAAAAAAATTTACTAAATATACTTATTAATCTGATAATTCAGATTTAATATAAATAATTTAAATTTAATATTATAATTTTTTAAATAAATTTATTATTCTATTTACAATATATTTGCATTATTCATAATATATATGAAATGTTAATTAAATTTTTTATATTAAATTTAAACTTTCAGATTAATAAGTATATTAATTAAAAAATTAATAATTTTTGTACATTTTTTATTTTAAAAATATAAATTAAAAATAAAAAATAAAAATATTAAATTTGGATTTAAATTTAACTCTAGTTCAATGGAAAGATAGGAGAGGCTTCTGGCAATGGAGAGAAGTGGACTCCTTTCCATGGACCATAGTCGTGCTTATCTTCTCTTGGCAATACCCGAACACGCATCACTTTACACCACGTGTTGTATTCCTATTCATCATTACTAGATATCGGGGCCAATTTCTTAAAAAAAACCAAGACTCCAAAGAGATAAATCTATGGAGGATGACAAATACAAAAACATCATAAGAATATAATTAAGGTCTAAGATTCCTAAATTTAGTATTTTATCTTTTATGTTGCAGTACTGAAATAATCTTTATTGTGACATTAGTTTTCTTATGATATCTTTACTTGTCATTCCCTTACATTTATTTGAGAAAAAGTTTGAGACCTTTCAAGTGAATTAAGATTATAACTTCACTTCAGGGACCTTAGTTCTTTTTCTCAAATATTTCAACCTCATGGTCCTTATCAATTTTGCCAAGATATTTCGGATCTTATCTGGTTAACGCCTGTCATTTTACCGCACGTGATTATATTCTCTTGTCTTATGTCTTAGATCGTGTCTGGTTCCATGCCCCCTCTACTTTTGTCTTCCATTTTTTCCTAAAAATAATCTTTTCTTTTGTTATTATTTTTTTAATTAATTTTTGTTCTGCCTTTTCTATCCGGTGAGTTTTGGCTGTGTCCACAATTGGTCCTGTGCCTGTATTCTTTTTCCATACATTTGTTTGGTTTTTTTTTTGTTATATGTTTTTTCGTTTTTCTTTGGATGTTCTCGTGCTTTCCTTGTAGGTTTTGTTTTTATTTTAGTAGTAGTAAGTGATATCCATGGTAAAATTCCTATTCCTTTCCTATAATACTTAATTTTATGTATAAATCTAAGGTTGTAACCCGTGCAATTTGTACGGGGTTATATAGGATTATATAAAAATGCACGTAATTCAATACTAACATATAATATATATAAATATACAGACTGATTGATGTAACTTGCTTAATAATCAATTTATTATTAGTAATTATTTTTTCTTTAAAGTGGATAAGATCGCTCTGCTAAACGTACGGTCTTGATAAGATAAAATATCTTTGAATGCTAAAAGTGGTGGTCCTTTTCTCCTATACTTTTTTATGACGTCACGTGACAACTATTCTTGATAAGGTAAATATCTTTAGATACATCAATTGTTATGCAAATTATTGATGAGATGTTTATTATTTTATTAATTCAATATGTTTTTTTTAAATCAGGAACCCTATGTGGACTATTTTTGGACGATAAAAGGATAATGTATTTTAGTGGTGGTCTACTTTTGTGATGCCTATCATATCAAATGAACAAACAAGCATAGAAGATAAGTATCTTTTAATAAGTATATTTATTAGTTGTAATAACAATCTAAATTAATAAATTTACAAGAATATAAGGTAATAAATATAAAGGATCAAATGAAAAAGAAAATTTTACAAATACTAAATTTAATATATTTTGAATCAAGTTAAAAAAATATTTATATTTTGAATGAAAGGGAGTACATTTTAAAGTTCTAAGTTATGTTTTTGTTAGAGGACTGATTGTAACTGGAGTTGTGTAGAAGTCGATGATTTATATTATCAAATACAAAGCTATATTCTTTTACCGTAAGCATATTTTTATCAACTGATGAATACTGCAATGAGTGTCTTATGAAGTTTTGAACTAATTTGAGCTTATAAAGTCGTTCATTGCTTTTTAGGTGTGGTCTTTGAAGGAGAATTTTTTGTTTATTGTTCACATGGAAGAAAAAGGCTAGGACTATCATTAAAGACTTGTACCCTGATTTGGATGGAGAAGGGGAAAGAAAATTAAGGAAAATTTTTTCAGAAATAATAAATTTATTATTTCTGGATTTTTTTTTTTCGTCTCAGTTTTCTTTTTATTTTTTCTCCATCCAAATGAAGTGGATAATTGGCAAATATTAAGGTAAAGATTCTTGGTCGAGCTGTGTGCAAAACTATCACATAAAATTAATGCATTTTTTATGTGACTATAAATTATAGTTTGAAATCTGACAATTTAATATTCGCAGATAAGAAAAAGGAGGAACTACTTTTTAGATCGTATAATTTGTTTCTTTTTTCTTTGTTCATATTTTTATGGATTGGTTCAGGAGAGCTGCATACAGCTCGTTGTATGAGAAGAATCTGGACGATCCGGTTCGACCAAGTGCGGTCCCTGACGATGTGATCCAGGCGGCCCAATCTGACAAGTACTGGGCCCCACACCCACAGACTGGGGTTTTTGGGCCCGCCGCTGAGCAAGGCGGTTCTCCCTCAGCTACTGACGGCGCGGACCGGAGCTTCCACTCGGCCACCGCCGATGCCGGAGCTGACTCAGTGCTGGAGGAAAAAGCCTGGTTCCGCCCTGTGAGTCTTGAGGACACGGAGAAGCCCAACAACTAGCTTTCCCTTGTTATCTTAAGTAAGTAATTTACTAATGGAGTTCTGAAACATATCGGTGCGTACGTGAATAATATCTTAGCGTTGTATGTTTTCTAGTGTGAAGGTTTTGTGTGAACACAAAGCCATTTATTTATGGTTGTATGGTTATTCCTTTACATATTATTATGGATTGGAACTTTTATGACTAAATCTACGGTAATGTTTATTATATACATCATAATATTGTGCTCCCTCTCTCCCTCACCCCCCTCTCCCTCTCTTCACCCCCTCTCTCTCTCTCTCTCTCTCTCTCTCTCTCACATGCATGAGGTTTAAGAAAAACAGCAATACAGGTAAAATATATATATATATATATACAATAACCAAAATAAATAAATAAATAAATAAATATGCCATGACTTGTTAAATAAAATTTGACACAACCTATCAATGAAGTTAGGTCTAATGAAATTGACTAGTCTTTCATAACATCTTGAATTAAAGTTTAAATTTACATTTAGAGAAATGCTTATATTTTGTTTTTGATTATATTTTAAAAATAATTGTTTTTAATAAGAGAATATTTGTAAACAATAAAAGTAAAAATTGATGCAACCTGCCACTCGTGCAATCAAAATTCAAAGGGTATTTCTAATCAAAACCCACGAGGAGCAAGAGCAAGTGGTGACTCGGATAGATTGTTGGTGTGGGGGCATCTATGGTATTTTATAGAATTTTCCGGTTCCTATTCAGCTCTGAAGGAACCTCTCTTCAGCCTGCCAAATGTATCAAGCCAAGGGGAAATGGCTATTTTCCTTTTCCATTATCAATTTTTACGTGTGCCAAACAAGGCTTAGAATGAAGTTTAAATAATGTGAGAAAATATAAAAATGTGAGGGAATGAAATTTGACTATTTAAATTTAGGGTTAAATTTTCCCCTCCCTATTTTTTTTTTTAAAAAAAGAGCACTAGACACACTAATAAAAAATTTGGCTTTTATAGGGGATTTTTGAAATAACCTCTATGATTACCCTTAACTCACCTAATTGAAAGCCTTAACTCACCTAATTAATAATAAATGTCAACTTTGAAACTGGGATCCCAAAAAATATTTAAAAGGATAATTAGTTCACTTTTCAAAAATAAAAAAAAATAAAATTATGTAGAAACATGAAAATGAAACTTTGTATTGAGAAAGAAATGAAAGGGCAAATAGTCATTCAAGAAAACTACATTAACTCATAACTGCTAAGAATACCTTTATTATGGCCAACTACACAAAGACTCACTCACTACGGCCAACACCTTGTTTGCCACGATAGACCCTGCATTGATACTATAATAGACAACAATCATTAATCCATTTTAAACTCTTAAAATTTAATTGCACAAACCTCCAATTATGGTGAACTAAGCATCTACACACAGATAATTGAATAATCTAATAACGGGTACTACTAATAAGCCATTCCAGTTCTGACTTGAAACACTAGATGCCAAGATGAGCAATTAAACCGCCTTATACATATACAAGTATTTTCTCTCTAAACTCAACTCAGTAAATTACTTGATTTACATTACCACAATATATATATATAGATGTCAATTAGCCAATTTTATTTCATGCAATTATACCAACACTCCAAAAACTTGCCCATTATCACAAAAACTTAATGTAGTACCTCATACATGCAACATCTCGTTATTGGACTAAGTGAATTTCTTATTGTTGGCAAATATGCAAACTACCTTAAACGAGACAAACTAAAGGCTGATAACATGAGCGCCTTATTCCATAGCCTATACAACGCCTTCTCTTTTTTTTTTTTTTTTGCCTACGGACACCTGAAAGGTATAAACACTATGATCGGTGTAGTCGCTTAACCTTCAAAATTAACTAGAACTAACCTTAATATGGTATAAAGTCAACCTTAGGTCCTTTCACAAGGAGGAAATTCACGCTACCTAGGCAAATTAACTTAGTGAACGTATTATCTAAATACGTGAAATTGTTACCTAATTAACTAGTGAATTTAAATTGCAAACTAAACCTAAATGAAATTGGTGGACTTCTCTATTAAAGTAGGAACCTTATGGCATTGTTGATGGAGGAATCCTAGCTTCTAAATGATAATTGCAGCTCACTTAACTTCTCCCCCTTGGTTGAAAAAGTGATCATTCAAGACAACTATCCTAAGTAATCTAGTATCACTAATTCAAATCCTTAAGTGCCAATTACAAGCCCCTTAAGTAACCTCACTAATTTAGTTTCAAAATTAACCAAGTGTTTGATTAAATCTTCTCTTCTTATGCCATAGTCAAAGCTATACCCAAACACAAAACCATGCAACTTGAGCATTTAATCAAACATTTACCAAACAATTACATGTTAAGTCAATGTAAGATATTCACCATTGGAAAATCACATATTACAATGCAATATCCATAGTGGCCAAAATGTCCAACAATAAAAGAAGAAGAAATTCAAGCCAACAAACTTGTTTCAACACAAACATTTACAATCCAATCATGAAACTAGAGTTAAATTGAACTACAATCAACTATAGTCATAGTCTATTGTTGAAATTGAAACAAGATGAGGAATAAATTCAGCTTAGCCTAATGTAGTCTTCAATGCTCCTCTTCCATCAACTCCTCCCTAAGATTCCATGGATAATTTAGCTACAAAACATCAAAACCATCTTGCTCCTCCAAGAACTAGACACAACCAAGTAGAGCTCCATGAAAATGGTGAAATCAAGCTTTAAATCTCCTTGCAAGTGAGTGGGATAGGTTCAACCAAGTGAGAAGAATGGAATGGTGATGGTTTTTTAGAGATTTGATGGTCAAAGGTGAAGGTGGAGAGGCTGGAAGTGTAGGGTTTTTTGACAAAAGGAGAAGAAAATGAAAAATAAGATGAACTAAAGAGAGAGAATGTAAGAAATGAATGAGTGTGTGTTTGAATTTGAATTTTAGAGCATGTGGGACATGCATTAGGGTTTGTCCTCAGATTTGGCTCTTAAAAGTAATTAAAAATAAAATTAAAATGGCTAGAGTGTTTCACACTTTGTGCACATGCCCTTAGGTGGTACTTTCTTATTGGTTGGGTGATAATTCATATGCTCATATGAATATTCACATGCTTTGCACTTAGAAAATCTGATCTACCCCATCCTTTAGCCATTTAGCATGCCACTCTTGCCCAAAATGCCTTTCTTGTACTTTCTTGATTAATTGATACAAGTTTAGAAGTAAATGTGTCACCTATATCACATAATGAACAAAATTAATCAAATAAATGCATGTAACATAATAATACATATTTAGGAACATGAAATTAATTATTTAGATAGAAGACAAATATTAAAATTGATTCCAAAGGCTTCCTTAGTTGAAAACCATGCACACATATGCACAAAACCGTAATTAAGTCAACAAAGTTGACAACCCTAATTTTATAATTTTTAATTAATACTTCCTAAACCAAATTTAATTTTCAAAATATAATTTCATATTTTTTTTTCTGGGTATCAAATACATTTGGACTAATTTTCTTGTACATTTTTTCAAAAGTCAAATTTTTAGACCAAAATACCCTTAGTGCATAATTTTGCTCCTTAGACGATTTTCTTGCTTTTAAGACCATGAATGCACCAAAGTAGAGAATATGACATGTAAAATGAGTCCTAAATGAGTGGATAAAGTGTATAAATAATATGTCTTATTACACTACTAATGTGAGATACAAGAATTTTAGTAACCAAAAGTGCATAACAAGCAATATGGCATAATAATATGCTTACCAATACATATAATAGGCATTGAATCACATTAATAGTGTTAAATTTATATAGTGATGCCTCATACTAAAGTACATTCCTCATCATGAAAGCATTTTAAAGTGCAACAATATTGAGAAAACAACCAAAGATCGCTTGCCCAAATTCATCTTATAGTCATTGATAAATATGATACCGTGCTTTTAAGATCAATGCAACCACCTTATATCCCTCCTTATATTATTTGACTGAACCTATAAGCTTCTAATTCTTATAGGTCTAGTTTATGTGATTAAATCTAGCCCACTCTCCAATTGCGAGAAGTCACTTGGCCAAAAACTTCCACACTCACTCTCAAAACATGGGTTTCCCTTACTCAAATTTTAGGTTATTATATATTGCCCCACCCATACTGTCCAATCCAAGATTAATGATACTAAGCATCATGCTCGACCCAAGCCACACCCGCAAGTTGTTAGCAACATTAAGCACATAAGTAATGAAAGATGCTAATCACTATGCGTAAACTCAATAGACGTTACACTATGTGGATTTACTAAACTAGCCTTCAGCTAAACTAGGGTGAACTCCCACCTATTATGCTCATACCAATTTAACAATCCATACACAAGCTACTCATCCATATCTCACAAGCCAGCATAAACATAACATTAATACTATATAGCATCTAGATCACACAACCACAATTATTACATTACATCATGTTCTCATCATTAATATCAAACCAATACAAGCATGCATTCCAACACTTAAACCACATCAATGATTCATAATCAATCCAAACTCACAATTCATATTTCATCATCATATACCATCTTCACTAACTTAACTATCAAACAACATCACTAGTAGGCAATATTATTTAACGATGACGTTAAGCTTTGCTAACCCGTAACAATTTCTTGGTACTTATTATAGGATTTAATGCATAATAGTTTATTTACATTTGAGGGTACAATTATATGTAATAACAAGATTTTTAGATGTAGACAATCTATAATTAGTCCTTATTCAATTACTAGTAATCATCAATGCAAGCAATGATTATGATCCACAAAATTTTTAACCAAATAAACACCGAAACTATCAGCCTCATGTAACTTGGATAATGTCTTATTTTCCAAATTAACCATAAGAAATTCTACATTCTATGATCTACCTCATGCTTAAGTTAGTGGTCAAATGCATAAGATCTAGTTCCAATTGTCAACTTGAGTTTGTGCCTAATATAAAACCTACATCCCTCAAGTTTGATATACACTTGTTTGAGGTTATACACTTAAAGTTTTCAAGCTTGACTCTAGACATCCTTGAACTTGAGCAAGGTAGAGCTTGCTTGTCTCAAAAGTCATACATGCATGTCTTATCTTACAAAGAGAATTCATCTAATACACTTGCCTAAGAGAGACCACATATTTGATCTTGTTAGAAG